TTCCAAACGCTGAGCTAACTAGCCCAGTGCCACACTAACAACTAAAATATACTAACATGGGGTACATTTACAACATGCTTTAATAACTGAAAACAACATCATGCATCAATACAACATTAGTGAGTATCCTTGCGATACTCACTCTCCACGCTATGATAGACATCATGGTGCGGCTAAGGGATTTCTGCATCTTGGATCTCACACACCCCTCTATTCTACCGAGAATGTGGCCCTCGGAATCACTACGTTGGACACCACACCCTCAACTAGCCCACCCCTTGCAAGTGTCGAACCTTGCGCCCTAGCTAGTCAGTTTTAAAGGTCTTATGCCCTGCCTATGGAAATCCAAACTACATTTATACTTTCTACACCCTAAACTAGAGGAACTCAGGTGTCCGAATTATTTCCCGAGTATCAACCAAGGCTAGTTTTATGTCACCCTAATTATTTGGTTTCTATGTTTGAATAAAACATTTTAATATTTTCACTTGTAGTCTTATTTGATGATATATTGAAGTATTGGGTTACCTCATGTCTAAATTCCTTAAATACGATCCCTTTTGCCCAAAACAGACTGAAACTATCGATACTAGCCCAAGAGTATCGATACTTTTGTAAAAGTTTCGATACTTTATACAAGAACCGATACTTTTAAACATTATGTTCTGCCTAGTTTCGATACTTTCTGAGAGTTTCGAAACTATGACTCAAAGTTTTGATACTCTTGAAAGAGTATCGATATTTCTGCCTAGAAAATACGTTTTACCCAGAAATGAAGAACATCTATCAATATTGGCCTAATAGTATTGATACTTGACCTGCAAAAGACTTAAATACCAATACAAAAATGCTATATCTCATTCCCAAAGACTCTTGTGAGGTCCCCAAACTTGCTTAAAGTCTTGTGAGTCATAAAAAGAGCATAAATAATGCTTATATCATGCTTAAAATTCTAAAACATAAAATCTACCACTGATATGCTCAATAAGCTTATTTCTTAACTTCATGTTATTCATTACATTAACATGGCCCACTAAGAGTATAAAGAAGTTGTAAGTATAGATACCTTGATTTCTAGGCTAAAACAAAGCTCCAATTCACTCAATGAAAACTTTTTCCTTCCCTTTATCTTGGAGGCTTCACCCACTTCTTTCACTAATAAAGATAAGAAAGATAAGTTTCTAAATAATCTATGTGATGAAAATAAGGATTAAAATTCTTCCAATAACCTAAATCCAAGAAAAACAACCTAGAACCCTTGGATTTATTTAACCTCCCAAAAAACCCATTTTGGAAACCATAGAGAAAAAATTGTAAAATGGGGCTTAAATTAAAGCTTGAAGGATGGTGATTCATAATCTTACCTTGGCTCAAGCTAACTAAGATTAGAATGCTTGAAGATTGACTCTTGAAAAGAAAGGAAATGGAAAATGCTAGAATGAAGAAGGAGAAGAGTATTTGGTAAGATTATTGGAGCTTTGATTCACGCAAAAAATATGAAAAAAGGGGGAAAATGTTCGGTTGAAATAAAATGAGTAATCTACACTTTAGGTCGCTATACTTTCAAGCCCCTATTAATAGTATCACCTTACATAAGTCTTTTGATCCCCACACAACCCAAATCCTCTTAACATTTGTCTAAGATATTTTTAATAATTATTTTGGACACTAAAATGGGTCTCGAGTTAACCCGATTTACAAACCCGGGTTTCTGGACATTACATTGAGGCTATTTGATCATTTGAGACATGATATTCAAACATCAAGACACAATACTTAATGTAATAAATTAAGGTAACATATTAATGGTGAATGAACCCATACATGCATTTTTGTGTAAGTTCTAGGGTAAAGAAGGTAGACGATAGAATAATATCATGTACATGTACGACAAATCTAAACTTCCATTCGATTTGGTAAAGTTTGGTTGTAGAAAAGACATTAATTCCGCGTACTGTTTGTCTATCAACCCCTAAAACGAGGAAACCAAGAACAAAACATAAAACTAACCAACACTTCCATTTTGCCTTGCTGATATTACATTAAAAATAAGTGTAAATTACACATTTAGTATCTAAACTGTTATTGTTGTTCCATTTTGATGCCCAAATTATTTTTGTTTTTTCAAAATTATACTTAATGTTTAGTTTATGTTTCAATTTGATATCCCGTCATTAAAAAATTAACAGAACTATTGATGCGATATTTTTTTAAATTTTTTCAATGATAACATGATATTATCTTATTGTGACACGTCAACATTACCGTTAAGTTTATAACATCAGGTACCAAAATGAAACCTAAACTAAACATTATGTGTGATTTTGGGGAAAAAATTGGATACCAAAATGGAACAAAAGTAAAATTTAGACACTAAAAATGTAATTTACCCTAAAAAGAAACTGATCAGAAAAGTGAATACCCCCGAGTCGAAAACATCACCAAAACTCGGCATCATGGTGTAGCTGCTGGTATTGTCATTGCAAATACAAGAAGCTTCTTCAACCATCAATGGAGGATGATTGAATATAGCGGAGAGTTCATTGAAATAACTCATCTGATCCCTCATAAAACCAGGGAACTCAATCTCGTTGGATTGGTTTCCGTTAGTGTTTTGGTCCATGGAGTGTAGGTTTGAAGGAGGTTTCAAGCAGTTATAAGGAACAATGCAGGCCAAGTAACTCGAGTTATCATCACTTGCAGTACTGAAAAACAAACCAGTTTCATGTTTTGGTTGAATGGGGGTTTCAGAAATATCAGGTCCAACTTCAAAGCCATGATTTGTTGCTTGTACAGGTGGAGATTGAGAAGTGTATATGACGTTGGTGGTGGCTTGAGCTCCTTTGATGGAAATGGCAGCTCGATCATAAGCCAGAGCTGCTTCTTGAGCTGTGTCGAAAGTGCCGAGCCAATGCCTTTCTTTGGTGGAGGGGTCCCTGATCTCCTCCGCGTAACGACCCTATGGACGGCGTCTGACGCCGAGGAACCTCCCTGAATCGTTTGATTTCCTTCGGCCTCCTCGCCTTTCGTTTGGTTGGTATGAAGATTTGTTCCTCTGAAGCATGATGGAATCTGAAGCAGCTTGATGATGAGTTTGAACTGCTTCATATCCATAAGCTTTATCCATGGTTATATATATGTAAAAATTGTGAGAGGCAGATATGGGTTTTTGTTAAAGGGCATTTGTAGTGAGAAAGTGTTGGCTAGGGGTAAGGGGAAGTGTATATAAAGGGAGAGTGACTGAAGGAGAAGAAGATGGAAAGGGACACTACAGTTCCTCCTCTATGAGAATCAACCTACCCTTTCCTAGGAAAAATTATTAGATCAACCGGCTCAGCACGTCGGTGGTCATTATCAACATTATTTATCCATCTTATTTTAATCTTTATTTTTTTAAAAGTGATAATTATTTGAAAATTATTCAGAAATGATATAGTGAGTAGAAACTATAAAATAATTTAAGGTTATTAGTTTAAAAATTCTCAAAAAATCATTTACCCCAAACAAGATTTTTTGTGAAAAATATCTTAATCTGTCCACATAAGATTACCTCATATTTTACAAAAAGTGAGATTAGATCTCACGTTTTATGAAAAACAAGTTTAATGCATATATTATTATTTTATCCAAAAATTAAATGAATTTATTTAAAAACTTGATTTCTTAAACATGTATTCAAATAATTCTTCAACCTTTTAATTTATAGGTCTAAAACTAGAGACGAAATCGAGATAAAATATTTAAAAAATAAATTATTTAATTTTAAAATATAAAATTTTATTAAATAATTTTATGATAAATATGAGTGAATAAAAGATAGTATTTGTTAAAAAAAAATTAATCATTTGACAATAAATGTTCATACCCTGCATACACAGTGCTCAAATTTAAGATCTTAATGAATAATAATAAATTTCATAACTACCGAGATAACTTGATTAGTGCGATGTTGATTATAATTATACATATTTATTGAATGTATGTGTATTGTTGATTGAGTTAATTATAGGTAATTAGATTGGTGGAATTTTAGTACATGTTTGTTAGTATGGATTGCACATGTGAATCCACATTTTGAGGAAAATGAATGAATCAATTCTTGTTTGTCTCCTTCGGTCTTTTCAAAGGGAGCAGTTAAGTAAATGACCAAATATTTGATCAAAATATATTGTTTAATGATCTAACCAAATGGTCCATTAGTCAAAACCTTTTGAATTCTTTCTCTTTCTTTATTTTAAATCTGTGCAAAACTCCAGTTTTCTGTTTCATCTAATAAATTTCAAAGTATAACTTTATAATCATAATTTTTCTTTATATTGTGATAAATTATTTTAATAATTTTGTAATGATCAAACTTTTATTTATTAATAGTTATAAAAAACAAACTAGACATAAATATAAAAGCTAATAGTACATATATCATGTCGAATTTTGAGAAGCAAAACTTTAAATGTAGAATATTTTGCCTATATGGTGATATGGTTATAAGACGTCAGTTATTTATTGGGACAAAATGAAAGAAAAGGAAAATAAAATAAAATTATATGAAAAATAATATAAATTTTATTAAAAATACATACACATGATACGTATTGAAAATATATTTGCAAGTACGATAATAATGATGTGCGTATATGAGTTTTGTCTTTAGTAATTCAATTAGTGTGTTTTTAAGCACTTGAAAAAAATCATCTAAATGATTTTGAGATTTAAGAAACCCATAGACAAACATGTAGATTTTTAGTTGTCAAGAACAAGTTATAAACTTAACCATACTTAAGTCTTAAAATTTGTCAATTATTGTTTTCTAAAATACTCGAGATTCTAGTATCAATCACTATTTTTAACTATCTTTGACTGTTCAAAATCAATATATTTGGTTGTGAGCTTTTCAAATCTTATATTATTTAGATATACATTTTTTCCAGTATTTAAACATATATCTATTGAGTAATTGAAGACAAGACTTGTACACGTGTTTTTTGTCTTTGGCGCACACTATGCGTATCTTTTTTTTTTTTTTGAAAAAACTATATATTAATTGAATCATATGATTAATCTGGTGATTATTTTACAATTTTTAATAATTGAAAAATTCTATAAAATAATACTTTATAATCAAAATCATTTTATAACTTTTAATGGTTAAATAATTCAATAAAATAATGGCCTATGATACTATTTGTGTACTTAATTAATTATAGCTATATGGAGTAGTATCGGTTTATTTGGTGTTTTTAAAGACAATCAATGAGAAATTGATGTTTTTGAAGTCCCGGTGGAAAAAACGGCGATTGAGCCTAAGGTGGAAGTTGAAGAAGTCGATCAAGGAGAAGAGAAAACCAAAGCGATAGAGATATCAACTGCACCACCACCAGCATTCGAGTCGGAGAAACCATCTTTACATGAATTGGCTTTGAAAAATGATGAGATAAATAAGCTGAAATCCAAGCTAGAAGAGAAAGAAAAGGAGCTTAGTGTGTTTACTCAAGAAAACAAGGACCTGAAAAAGCAGCTCAATGAAGCGACCTTGAACATTTCAAGTGCAAAAGCCAAGGAGCAAGAAATGACTTTGAAGTTGACCCAAGTAGGGGAGGAACTACGAGCAAGTAAAACAGACTCAACTCAATTGAAGGAAAAGCTCCAATCAGTTGAAGAGCAAAATGAAGCATTGGAAGTCGAGATGAAGAAGCTAAGGGTACAGACTGAACAGTGGAGAAAAGCAGTGGATGCTGCAGCAACTATTCTCTCCGGGGGGCATGGAGATGAACGGGAGGATTTCGAACCGGTTTTTAGTACAAATTTATCCATTCTAAATCCCATTCACCATAATTGTATGGTGTTGTGAACAAATATCAATGTTATTCTTCTTAATATCTTAATTATTAACTCGACACTACATGCTTGATTTCCAAGGGTTATACTGCTGAGTATGATTCAAAGAGTATTCGATCATTTGAAATTTTATTCATCAATAATGTATTTTTAATAATGTAATTTTAAAAAATTTAAAATTATAATATAACCTTTTTTTGAGCATTTTTCATCTTTCTCTTAGAGAGAGAGTGTGAAAAATGAAAAATAAAAGAAAATGGCCATTATGGTCGGCCATTTGGGGTTTATATACCCCTTCCCAAATGACGTCGTTTTGGGAAGGGGTATATGTATAATTTCATAAGGGGCAAACCCTTTCCGCAACACCCATGATTTTGTAACTTTGCATTTTAGTCATTGAAATCAAATTTTGAATCTTTTAATTTTGATTTTCGAAGTTTGGTTTATTATAATTTAGTCCCTAAACATAGTTATATATATTTTAGGTAAAATAACCGAATTAGCCATTATAATTTTGTTAAATAATGTTTTAGTCCAGGACAACATGTTTTAATTTATTTTAATTTAATATTCGAATTTGATATAAGTTTATTTTAGTCCCTAAATTAAATAAATGTAAAATAGCATGTTTAGTCTCTGTAATTTTAAATAAATAATTATGAATTAGGGTATCTAATTTTAATATGTTATAATTTAGTCACTAATTTTAATATTTTAATTTATTTTTAATTACAAATTTTATTGTTTTTAAATATATAAGTTTTAATTTTATGTATTCATTGTTTAGTTATATTTTAATTTTATATGTTTATTTTTAATTAATTATTATTACTATTATTATTATTATTATTTAGTCATATAAATATATATATATAATAAATAATATTTATTTATTTTATTTTATTTTATTTGTTTTCTATTAAAATCCTATGTATAAATTTAATTTTATAAATTACTTTTAAATTATTTTAATCATGTTTGAATATTTATTTTTCAATATTAAGAAAGGGTAGTCTTAAAGCAACGGGATGTCCATTTTCTGATATTTTTAAATAAATAAATATTTTACTTTTATAAATTATATATATTTTAATTGTTTTTAGATAAATGGTTTATTAATATTTTTTTTTAATATTAAGAAAAGAACTGTCTTAAAGCACCTAGAAGTCATTTTTTGATATTTCTAAATATATAAATATCTTATTTATATATATTAATAGATTTTCTTAAAATTATAGTAATAGATTTGAAATAAATAGGATTATAAATTAAATATATCTTTGAATTTCAAAATTTCTAATAATAGAGACAATTTATAATTAATGAGTACCAATTTTGGGCGTTATAGGGATGCTAATCCTTGCCTAAACATAATCGATCATGAATCCCTTCTTTACTAAAAATATTTTTGGTTATACGCAGATCAGTTTATCTTTTAAATTATGTTTTCTTAAAAACTATTTTAAAAGATTATTTTTTAGGTATTTGACTTACCTAACCCAAAAAGGTCAATGACGACTCCTAAAACATTTTTTAAAATCAAAATCATTTACTTATTCATTTTATTTTTCCCGCCAAGTAAAATTTCGTGCCCGAGCGAAAACCGGTTACGACAGCTTGACGACTCCGCTGGGGATCGGTTAAGCTTTAAAATCAATTATAAATTGTCTCTATTAATTAGAAATTAAAAATTCATATATTTAATTTATAATTCTTTATTTTCAAAATTTTTATATATACTTATTATTTTCCTAATATTTATATATATTATTTTTTATTAATGTTTTTATTTTATTTTCAAGTATTAAATTTTATTATTTATTTGTTTGTTAGATGTTTGAATATTTCTACTTACACACAACACTTGCATTGCATAACATAAGCTTTATAATCAAGCTTGTCCATTTTAAGTAGGAGTGAAAGCGACGTCTTCGTGAGAATTTATTCTCCATGTCAGACCTAGCAAGTAGCTTTCGGGATTCATATGCTCTATGTCTTCGTGAGAATTTATTCTCCGTGTCAGACATAGAGAAATGTGTTCTCTCGAATTGAACTCGATTCGCTTAAGTTTGTAGTGGACTACGATTGAGTGTTTGACAGCCCAAGGGGGCATCAACAAGGACAATTCGGGTACCTTTACTCATAGAACTGAAACCCTGCATATAATAAACCCTAGAAATTCTCCTGATCTAATATAATACTGAAACCATGTCCGTAGGCATACACAAAGGAGAAATAAGCTCTAGCTTTTTATTTTATTTCCAAACAAAGCATGGAATTAGAAATCGTGCAGTTAGGTTAACTTTTCCAAACAAAGCATGGAACTAGAAAGCATGAGGTTAAGATTTATACCTTAATAGATAGAATTTTTCTTTCCATTAATTGGTACTAACCAATTTATTTTTTCCTTTCTCATTTTATTTTGCTCTAACTTATTTGTACTGATTTCTTTTCTTTTTTTGCATTGCATGATCATGACATAATCAAAAGGTGTTGACTTGAAAGACTGTTCATCAAATTGGAAAAAAATCATAAATGGACAAAAAGTTTTATGATCGAACAAAATATGACACAGCCAAGGAAAGGCATCCTGAGGGAACTCTGAGGATAGAGGAGAGCTATACACCCAAAGATCGTATGCCCATGGAAGAGAAAAAGGAGATACGAGAAATGAGAGAGCAAATGTCCAAGATGATGGGAAGAATATCTCTTTTGGCCAAAGGAAAAGAGATTCATGCACAAATAGAGGTCAATGAACATAACCCTGCAATCTCATATATACAATGAACTTCGGATCCTAACCAATTTGAGAAATTACAGACAACCATCATTCGTATTCACAAATTTTCTAGAGATACCAAAGAAGTGGTGACAACTGTAAAAGCTTCCAGAGAAGAGAAAAAATCATGTAATTTGAAATCGTCGAAGTTTAGTCTGATCCCGACATCTAAAACTCAGGTTCAATCCAAGACAAAAGACGGTTCTCATTTTGATGTTATCCCTATATCATATAAAGAGTTATATGATAAACTACTTGAAACACGAGAAGTGGCTCCCAACCTCCGTATTCGAATTGGTATGACATCAACGTTTATTGTGAATATCATGCCGGAGCTCAAAGAGATACCATCGAGAATTGTCTTGCCTTCAAACGTCGAGTTCAAAGTCTTTTGGATCATGGAACCTTACAATTTATGGTAAATGATCGACCTAGTTTGGTAACTGAAGGTCCTGCTAGATTAATACCAAAAGTATTCAAAGGTAAAAATATCAGTAGGGGCACCCAGAAAAAGGAAGATTTGCTGAGGTCTGAGGCTCAAATGCGTCATTTAAATATGGAAAACAATAAATTGAACACCAAAATGAAAACCATGCAAGAAGATTTCCATAAGATCAGTCAAGCTTTTCGAAATGCTGGCATAGGAAACACCCCAGAAGAGTGGATAACAGGGGTCACCAAACTAAAAACGAGCTGCAACATACATGAAGATATTGTCCAAGAACTTCTTGAACACAAAGGTTCTCTTACAAGGGAAAATGAGCAACTTCGAGAGTTGACACAAAAGATGAAGGAAAAAGACAATATCATGAAGGAAGCTGCTGCTCAAGCAAACAATGTGGCTCATAAGCTGGTGGACTTAGCTGGCTTCACGAGAGAATTAAGGCAGATTGATAACTCCATACCTGAGCATAAGTGGAAGTTAATTTGGCTTTTAAGGGAAATAGAGAAGTTAGGAGTGAAAGTTGTCCCCTACATGTAAAAGTTTTGTTTGATGCACAGAAACGTTTGTGTTCAATGAAATCTGTTCTAAGATGACCACTCTTGAGTAACACCTTTTCATACATGCATTTGCATTTTGTATCTTTGCATTTTCATTTTTCATTTATACTTTTATGTTTGCTTTTATATTGCACAATTTGCATTCTTATTGTTACATTCACATATTTGCATTTGTATTTGCATTCTGCATTTTTGCATTTTTACGTTTGTATTTACATTTTCATTTTTGCATTTGCATCTTTGCATAATTACATTTTATTTCAAACTATTTTGCATGCATTTAATCATGATAACATGGAATATTTTGGGGAGAATTCCATGACAGAATTTTTGAAATCAAAGTGGAGCTAACTTGGTATTCCTAAAGAAGGATAATAACCATGAATGAGATTCTAGCAAGGGTTGGTAGAATTGAGAAATTGCAAGAGCAACTTATCAAGACTCAACAAGAAATGACTGATCATGCAAAAAAATTTCAGGCTGATTCAAAAGAACAAATGACCACTTTAACGTACATGATGAATGATATGATCCATGGAGGGAAACCTTTAGAGGATCCCGTTGTGAAGGCTATGAATGAGGTTCTGAATGATAGTGATGAGTTCGACGTGATAGTGTCTGATGATCAAGAACCTATTAGTGAGTATGGTAATTCAAGACAACTTCAAGATTTGGTCCCAAGAGGCATTGGTGAATTAATGGTGAATGAAGAATCAATGAAAGAAAAAAGTTTGTTGTAAGAAAAAAGCTTTACCCAAAGAAAAGGGGCATAGAAAAGGATCAAAGGTTGATAAAGAAGAAAAAATGTACAAAGTTTTCAATTTCCTCCCTTCCACTTCTCAGGTGAAAAAGTGCATTAAAAAATGCTCTCATCCAGATTAAATAATCCATGACTTGTTCAGCCACAGTGGCCTCCAATTGAGAATTGGACCTATAAGGAGGTTCCTTGGATAAACCAGATTGAAATTCCAAATTGTTCAACTAAGGTTCTTAGTAACCTTGAGAGAAATTTCCAAGATCCTTTAGAACAAGCAATTCAAAAGTACAAGGTAAAAGAGGGGGGTTAAGGTTCAATGCTCAGAAATCATTGCCTCGATGGAGACTAATGTGATCAAATCATGTGAAGAATATCAGAGGCAAGAAAATGGCAAAAAGGCTTCCATGAATGTAATCTGAGATTGGCCCATAGGTCTAAAAATAAACTGGGAAGATGCAACCATGAAAACATCTCA